ACTCCTATGTGTTGGGACCATCCAAAGGGACTGTAGGATATACCCTTTTCCAGAGACGTGTTTTATCCCTTCCACAAACCCAATGAGCCCAATTTGGGAGTTGCCTGAAGAAGCTGTTTCTGTTAATGTCTTGAAGTCTGCCTCATTGTATTATTCATCCATCAAGTGCACTGGAGAGCCCATCGACAGTGGAAACTCTCTCCTACATGGCACCTTTCTCAGTGTTGAATGAAGACAACAGCTATGCACCCCAAAGATCAATATCTCCTGCAGACACTGCTCATCCTACAGAGTCACCGTCTTCATCTAAACTTCTGTGCCTAGAATCACGATTCTGTCGTAATAGCCAAATGTCCAACAAACAAAAGTCAATAGGGACTTGCCTCTATGGGGACTCAGCATGATATTCTATTTTTGTCTTCTAATAGAAAATTATCAGATAAGGTCTGGCTCCTTGCAGAGTAATAATCTCACAGGGTAAGTCATTGAGTTCTAGGTACTCTACGGTAAGATGGAAACAAATTGTGGCCCCAAGGAGAGTATCTATCTTTTTTTTTTTTAATCGATCCTGCAAACACTCGTATTTGTTATTTACAAACTGTACAGTCCCTAAAACAACTGTCCAGTTAAACAGACAACACCTCATGGTTTCAATTTTCCATTCTGTAAATATACAGACTTGACATTTGCTGTTTAAAACTTTCCTTGATCTCTGTTTGGCCTTTCTCACCTGAGACAACTACATTAGTGATCAAACCTGGCTTTGTAGTTTTAGTTCCAGTCCTTATTATTGTATGTGTGTGAACACACACACACAGTGTGTGTTAACTGTTTTGGTTGATAGCTTATAATAGCTTTTTTTGAACAATAGGATGGGATCAGGTCAGGAAACAATTAAATTAATGGTCAAGAATACAGCAGCAAAGGTCTGGGACTCAGTATAATACAGTATTTCCACAGAAATGATGTCATAGGTACCGCCATTCCAAGTCTCATTTACATTTTAAATTCACTCTTAGGAGAGGGTGTTTTTATACAGCATCTTGTAGAGGTAGTGGATGCGTTGGTACCTTGTACATTTCTCATTTGCCATATTAGTTCTGTGGCTGTGAGTGACATATATGCTTCTTCATTTTTTTTTCCAGAGAATTATCTTTGGCCAAATGAGATGCTCCTTGCCTGAGGGGTCACTCTCTCATGCAGCCTTGGCCAACTGCCTGAATGACAAATTTGTACAGGGCTAGTCCCTTGTCCCAGGGTGGAGTTTCCAAGCAGCTCTCTTGGTACCTTCCCTACTCACCCTAGCCTCTCGGATTCTCTTTCTCCTGAAGATGCTCCCATAATGAGCCACTTTCATAGGGATCCTGGTCTCAGGTTCTACTTCTAGATTCTTCCATAAAATAATATCTTTTAAATTTTATTCAGAGGTTGCTGATTGGAGAGTGCTGACAGTGAATGATTCTCTGGGTGGCAACTATGCAAGTGATGCAATTCAGCCATTTTGCTAACTTTCTGTTCAGAAAATAGGAATCTGTTTCATATCCAGTGCCTTCTGAGTGGGCTTAAACAAAAAACAAAACAAAACAAAATAAACTTACTTAAGATGGTAGAGAAACAAGGTACCTGGCAATAAATAAGACAAAACAAAACAAAAGAAGGAAAATTCTTAGTTAACTGAGTAGATTTAGGCACTGAGTTAGCTGCATGAATAGCATATGCTGACTTATCATGGTAGGGAATGTCAATGAGAAGATTATCACACAGATCCAACGTGTCCTTGAAATGAGTCATTGCAGGCGGTGAATTCAATGTAAAGACAGAGTGCCAGAGATGAAATATATTTAGGCAATACAAAGAGAATATGCGTCCACCCACCCTTGTTTCTCATTAGCTAAGCTTAAGAATGGCAAGAAGAGTGATTCTTCTTGGTGGGGGGCAATGCATTCATCCAAGCTAGAACAGAGGCTGTTCAGATTTCTCCCACTGTACGACTCAGGCAGGCATATATCTGGGTGCTACAAAGGTGGGGGCATTCAGCATTAAAGCTGCTAGGCACCGTTGACTGCTTACTTCTCTCACATCTCCATGAATGGCTAGATTGATGATATTTTGGAAAGAGTTGGTCTGAAGAGCTGATGACAAACAGTTGCAAGACCCTACTGATTGAGTTTAGCTCTAGGGCAAGCTCTAGTGCTTGCTTCTCAAGGAATCTGGAAGGGTGGGATTTCAAATGTCAAGTACAAAGGTAAGAGAAAAGTTGGCATTGGGGAGCTAAAGAAATTAGGGATGGATATGTGATGAATGAAGCTAGAGTCATGGTCTATTTTCATTGGTGAGTGGTTTTGTGAACTTGTAACATTTCCAGTTGAAAAATATAGGAGTCAGTAAGGACAATATGAAGCCTTGGAAAATCAAATGAGAATCTATTCAAGCTTAGAGACATTGTAGACAGTGTGTCATATTCACTTTATTTTCAAGACTTATTTATTTGAAAGTCAGAGTTATGAAGAGAAAAGGAGAAGCAAAGAGAGAGTGAGAGAGAGCAAATTTCTGTTTGCTGGTCCACTACCCAAATGTCTGCAGTGCCAGGGCTAAGCCAGATTTAAGCCAGGAACTGGAAGTGTCTCCTAGGTCTCCAACATGTATGTAGGAGTCCAAACATTTGGATTATTTTTTTGCTTCTTTTCCAGGATCATTAGCATGTTGCTGAATTGGAAGTGGAGCAGTTGGGATTTGAGCTCGCGCCCACATGGAATTCCAGCAAATGGTTTCACTATGCCACATTGACTGGCCTTGATTCACATTATTTTCAAGATCCATTTTTTTTTAATTTGAAAGTTAGAGTTATACTGAAACAGGGAGAGCCAGAGAGCAAGAGTAAAAATGAAGGTGAGAGCAGGACACACATCTTTTGACTCATTCAAATCCAAAATGGCCACATTGACTGGAGCAGGGCTATTCTGAAGCCAAAAGCCAGAAACTCCATGCTGGTCTTTCACATGGGTGTCAGGGGCCTAAGTGCTTGGGACATCTTTTGTTGCCTTCCCAGGACATGAGCTGAGAGCTGGATTGAAAGTGGACCAGCCAAAACTGGAACTGGTGTACTTATGGGATGCCGGCATGGCAGGGAGCGACTAAACCCTCTGTGCCACAACCCCAGCCCCCAAGTTATTTCATCAGTTGGATAACACACGAATGACATTCATTTTTTTCCTTGGCCTTGAGTATACAACCCCTGCTTCTAAGTTGAAAGGTGAAAAAATAAGGTGTGCGGGTGTGTAGGGGCTTTACTACATTTCTCTGAAACATCACTCTAAGGGTGAAGAGCAGGCAGCCTTTACCTGTGGCATAGAAATTGAAGATAATCTGGGCTTGAAGGAAACAAGCTTTTAGGTGATACACACGGGGACAAGAGGTGAGATTTTGGCAAGAAAAAAGGGTCCATTAGACTCCCTTATCAGGGAATGTTTAAGTCCTGTGCATTGAGTCCACCAGGGAGAGCTTTCACCAACTCCCACACATCCAGCTCCTCCTCTCATCTCTCTCCACCTCCTCTTCCTGTCACTTTCCCTTCTCCTTTTTCCATGAACCATTTTCTTTTTTTCCTGGAAGAAACTGTGTGGTTTACTTTGTTTTCATTCTTCAAAAGACCAGTGACCCGTTGACCATTTTTTCTTTAAGCAAAAAAGGCATCTATGCTATATAATTTACCTCTAACAAAAGCACAGTTTGATTTTCTTTAATTTACAGTATGTTTTTTGATACTCAACACAGAGTCTTTTAAAAGTGGTGTTGCTCTGGAGGTACACCTGGAATTGACTTTAGGGTAATTGCCATGACATTCCTTAGGGGTGAAATTATTTCCATTGCTCACTTGTTAAAACACATGCTCCAGTTGGTCTTTTCACCCTTATCACAAAGAGTTTCACCATAGATACTCATCACCCCTCCACCTATGTAAGAATTATGAAAGCACTGCATTGAGAAGACCTGGTGAAATTTGCGTGGACATTTAAAGTCACACATCAGCTTTAGGAGCTAAGCATTCACAGAAAACAAGCTTTGCCTTAGTCTTTGGAATGGAGAATAGGTTGAGCTACACCCCCTTGTCCTACTGATGTCAGATAGCAGGCGTCACTTCTAGATACAGAACTGAAGTGGACATGTGGGGACTTGGAAAGTTAGCAGAATCTACAGAACAGACAGAAAGCACCAATAACCCCAAGACTACCCAAGTAGATAGACTGGATTCCTGACCCTGTTATTTATGGCTTCCTGTATCCATGGCTTATGACAAGTACTTTCAAGTCTGTGGTACTAGAGGTGGAAGGATTACTTGCAGGCTTGACCACATCGCTTAGTGTAATTAGTAGCAGTCAGAAGAAGACTTATAGTAGAAGTCACAGGGTTCTAACTCCAGCCCAAGGTGTTATGCATGGTATGCTTCCCCTAAGCATCGTCATGACAGCATGATGTGGCTAGTGAACAGGTTTAAGGAAAAAGGAAAAGATAAGAACCAGAGGGAAGTTGCAGCAACAGAGCAGAGTCCAAATCAGCCAAGCCTCAGCTGCTCAGAAGATACCTGCGTTAGAGGGAACGTTCACTATATTGTAGGCTCTGGAATTCTGTGAGTTGACAATGGTGTTTGGAAAATGAAGACAGCCATCTGTGGGAAATCAAGGATAGGTCAAAGTTCAGTGGTATGAAATAGTGACCTCTTGGGGAAGCAATGAACTATGTAACAATAGGTTGATTGATGCAGGTATGCATAGACCCAGACGTGCAACTCAACTCAAGATAACTTGAAAGGCCCATAGAACTCCCTGGGGCAGAAGTTGACATTTTGGTTATAGCTTGGTTACACAATCCAACTTCTCCTTCTGCCCTGGCCTGTTTCCCTTCCCTGTACACAACTTCTGCCTTCTGTTAGTCTCCCTGGGTGAAAACCTCTGAGGCTTTAGGAGCCTGGCCCTGGGGAAGGGGACAGAAGAAAGGCTTACCCACGATCATGTGGTTGCAGACATCACAGAAAGTGGGCTTCTTGAAGATGTGCTCCTGGAAGGCATGGGCCTTTCCGCTGCTTGGGTGCAGGCCTGCCCTGGTGGGAGGGGAGGAGAGACTTCCCAGAGCAGGCAGCGGGCTGGAGCTGGGGCTGACCTCGTTCAACACATCCGCCTGCAGCTTCACATCGCTGTTGGTTTGCTGGAAGAAGTTGTCGGCACTTTTGCTGCGTAAACTCTTGGTCTTGAAAGAAAGTGATCGTTTTAGTTTCTGGAGCTGCAATGCAATGACAGAACAGTCTCTCTTACGATCAATCATGCAGACTCATGCTGTGGGGGTGAGGTCTGTTCCATGCACTGCACAGTTCTCACTTGCATCGTCAGGACCAAGGGGGCTCTTGTGGGTCCCTGTGTAGATGTGGCAATGCCAATGTACACTGAGGAGGAAATGCAGCAACACCTCACTGGACCTACTGAGGCAAGGCCAGACCATCCGAAAGAGGTTCTAGTCCAGCTTTGCACCTTCTCCCTGCTTCTCCTCAAGTTCCCACCAATGCACATTCAAAGTGTTTCATAGCACTGGGCTTTGGGTACTGTTTGCCTACTGAATTTGAATTGCTGGAAATGATGTAAGCACAGAGGCTCTTTCTTTTTGTTGCCTAGCTAGCAGCCACCTGCCTTTGCATCCAGCACTACAAAGGAGGCCATTGTAGGACTCAAAGCCAATCTGGTTCAACTGTCCACAGAACACAAGCCCGTGCACTTAGGTGTGGCAATCGCCCTACGCTGCACACTGTCCCGTGTGTGTTTGTGTGTGTCGAGGGGAGTGGGACACAATTTCAAATTTTCTTGGTGTTTCCTCTGGCCCTAATTGTTGTATTTAGTTGTGGGAAACTAGCACTTTTCATCTTTAACCCTGAGTCTCATAAAGTACAAAAGCAATTGCTTCTGAAAGATCCGGATTTGAATCAGATCTACAGCTCTAGTCTGTTCTTCATTTGAAGCCACAGAAACCTTGTGCAAACACAGATGTGAGCTTGTGAACCTCTTATTTACAATCCTTCAAAAACTTTCCTTGGTTCTTCGGTCTCAAGGAAAGCTCCTTGCCATAGGCTCCACAGACTGGTAGAATCTGGAGCCCTGCTGATCGCAGTGACAGGTTGCACCACCATCTCCCTTACTCTGCCTTTCATGAACAGTGGTTGTGGCCAAGTCCCACATGTACTATGCTTTGCTGTCACCTGGTCTTAGGGAAGTTTTCCTTCTGTCTACATAAAAAAAAAAAATACAGCGTGTACTTGCTGTACTGCCTTCAGTGAATCTACATTGTCAGTAGTGTCCTGTTGCTTAAAATGAATGTCTAGGGCTCGGCTAGGGCTCATATCTGTTGACAGAAAAATGCTCAATATTTTATTCTGATCAGGGTATTCATTAGTGTGGGCAGACTCCCTGTGTAAGATGGGTTGACATGTCCTCATTATGCACAGCCACTTGAGTTGAATGCACAACTACTTTCTGCTTCAGAAGACCAGAGAGCTGTGACGACCATTGGCGCTTAGGGAAACACACAGAGAGGTCACGATTTCTTCTCCCTCTCCTTACCCCTGCTGCTTTGCAACGCAACTGGGCAGCTGCTCCCATCAAAAGTGGAGCCTATCCTCACTTTGTGAATCTTGTTGGATTTGAGATTTGACCAACACAATGGAGCAGATACTATTTCAAATCAGTACCAAGTATAGGCCCGAAGAGGTCTGGCAGGTATCTGACATCAGTTTGGAAACCTGTCAAGCTACCAGGTGAACAAACCTAAGGCAGACCAATGGATTATAAGAGACATTAGTCCAAAAGGCCCCCACTACTCCAGGGATATCCCAGATCCAGAATTATCCTGCTGCCTTTCAGATGGAAAGGAGTGTAAAGAGGCCAGCAGAATTGTTCAGGTGAGTGAGCTCACCCACTCATCAGCTAAAGAGGTGACTGGTGTCTAAGCCATTGAGTTGAGTGTCTTCTGTGTGGGCATGGCAGCGGAGGACTGATGCAACGCTATCCCCCTCACCTCCGTGGCATGGGATGGTACTGTGCTTCTGTACCTACTTGAAGCTGGGTGGCTGTGCAAAGCCACTTCTCCAGTACAGGGAGTTCTAAAGTGGAATGGCCCTGCAGAAATCCCAGGAAAGGCCCTACTAGGGTCAACAATGAGACGCCATCAGCCAAAAAAAATGCTCTCTAGAGAAGTAGTAAAAACCTAGGTAGCACACATTAGAAATAGTGGGCCAGCTCAGTCTCTTGCCTCTTTTCCTGTGTCTTATGGTTCAAACAGAACTTGCAAAGCAAAGAGGAGGAGAATGAAGGCGTCCCTGGATCACCCTGGGGTTCTCTGTCATTGTGGTGCATCCTACTACAGCCTGACTAATTGTCAGGAGTCCCTAGGTGCATAGCATTTATTCTGAAGAAGCCACATGAAAGGGAGCTTTGAAACAATCAGTCACCTGCCATCAAGACTGAGCTCCATTGAGGGGAATCAGCCAAGGAACAGAACAACCCCTTTTGCTCCCAAGCCTTTCAGGCCACAGGAAATGGTTCTAGAGGCAGGGGAGCTTCCTTATGACCGGAGTTTTATTTTAGCCAGGCTTTTAATACATCAAAGTCACAATGAGGTCCAGGAATCTGCTACAGTATTTGTTATGGGACGTGCACCATTAGGAGAGAGAGGTTTGTCAAAGTAAATGCCGTCACAGGGAAAAATTAAAATCGTGTTCCATTTGCTGCCCACTGAGTTTTGCTTGTTCAGTATGTTGGGTAATTGGGTCACAAAAACAGAATAACACCTAGTCTGATTATACCCAGGCACTAATGTGAATGTCATGGAGGAATGTGAGGGAGAGCTGTCTAACAATTCTGCATGATCTATACAGATGGAGGCCCATGTGTCAAGGGAAGGTCAGTGGCAGCAGTTAGCCGGTACTGTGGATCCAGCTTCAGTGCCTCCTTAGCTGGGTTCTCTGTGTTCCCTAGAGTTGTACACATGATATGTAAGTATCATGCCAGGAGCACCTGCAGCATTTTTCCTTGTCCTGTGGAGTGTGGCTGAAAGCGGTGTTAGACCACTGACAAAGCTTGCTTATAGAGTTGGAGGGTTTGTTTGCAATCCAGTGGGCTCTTTCTTATTCCAGCACACAGTATAAAAGGAATGCCTGCGAGTTAAAGTACTGGGGATTAATCCTTTGTAGCACCAGCATTCTATATGGGCATTGGCTTGTGTTCTAGCTGCTGCATTTGTGTTCCACTGCTTATAGCCTAGGAAAGCAGTGGAGGAGGTCCCAAGGCCTTGGGCTCCTGTGCCCATGTTGGAGAGCTGCAAGAAGTTCCTGACTCCTGGTTTCAGATCAGCTCAGCTCTGATTGTTGCAGCCATTTGGCGGAGTAATCCAGGAGATGGAAGATCTTTCTCTCTGTCTCTCCTTCTTTCCCTCTGTAATTCTTTCAAGTAAAATAAATAAATATTTGAAATATTAGAAATGATCTGAAAGGACAGTGCTGTCAGTAGAGAGTCCTGGAAGCCAGAGGCCAGAAGGGAACATAAGAAATGCAGGATGAAAAACAAGCCCTGGCCATCATAGCTGTCACACCATGGTCAGCCTCCCTGTACCACGGCTGCAGCCTACCCCCATTTCTTTTATTGTAACAGTAATAAAGAAACATTCTTGAGCACCTCACTGTGCACATCAAAACCACGTACCCTACTATGTGTAGTCATCCTTTTGAGTAGGGGACTCTTTAAATAATTCAATCATTATATATAGGGGAACTACTCTGAGACAGCACAGGCCTAGACTTTGGGGTGATACTGTAGTGCTTAGTGTTTAGTGAGCAGTGACGGAAAACAAATAAATCATCAGAGATATATATCATCCATCGGGTGGGTAGGTGTGGGGACACAAAGGAAAATAAAAACAAAGCCAGGCCTTGGAAGAAGGTGACCCTGACAGTCATCGCTGTGGCACAGCAAGTAAAGCCATGGCATGCAGCATCCCAATAGGCACCGTTTTGAGACCTGGTTGCCCTACTTCTGATGCGACTCCTTGCTCATGCACCTGGGAAAGCAGTGGTAGATGGTCCGAGTGTTTGGGTTCCTATTATTACATTGGAAACCTTGAAGAAGCTCAGTATCGGACTAACCACCTCTGGCCACAGCATCCATTTAAGGGAGTAAAGCAGTCGACAGATCTCTTAGATTTCTCTGTCTGTCTGTAACTCTGCCATTCGAATAAATAAATATGTCCATCTTTAAAAAAGAGAAGAAAAAAAGCTGACCAGAAGTCTTTTCCGATGGGTGGTATTTGAGTGAGTGGAGTCATGGAAGATATCAGAGTATAGAACTCCATTGGAAACATGCAAAACAATAATCAAAACAGAAAAAAAGAGAACCTCATTGCTTTAAAAAGTGCATTCTAGATAGTGGAAAATAAAAAACAACAGAGGCCCCAACAAGAGAGCAAAGTTGGTGAGTCTGAGAGACACCAGGAGTGTCTGGAGAAGAAAGAGGTGGGAGAGAGGGCAGATGCCAAAGGAAGCTTTTCATGCCAGGTCTTGTAGGTCAGGCCCAGGCTTTGCTATTACCTTAAAGCTGGTGGCTTGGGGCAGAGAGTGACAGAGTCTACCTTGCATTTTAAAAGGATCACTTTACACCACGTGGAAAACATATAATAGCGTGGAAAACTCCTGCAGAAATCCTGATGAGAAGTAATTCTGGCTTGTTCTAGAACAGTTATGATAAGATATGGCTGAGTTTAGGTTACATTTGGAAGGTAGAACCGATTGGATTTGTTGGGGAATTGGATGTGGAGTATGAACTATCTAAAACATCTTTGGCCAGAGCAGCTGGGTGAGAGGAGGGAAAGACTTCTTTAGAATTCAAGTGGAGCAAGATAGGTGGATGTGTGGTTGGGGATCCAGGGTTGAAGTCCGGGCAGGAGCAATAACTTTGGAGTTATTAGCATATAGACGGCATTTGTAGCTGTGGGACGAGATGATGTCAGTATGTGGGCAGTGAGTACAGACATTGAAGAGAAGTGAACTAAGGACAGAGCCTTGGAGTGCTCCACCAACTCAAGGGTGTGGAGAAGAGTTGAGGACAAACAATGGCATTCATCAAGTGGAGAACAGTGCATGACAAGACCCAAAGAAAGAACGCTTTAGAGGCTAAGGAAATGAATGGATTCGAATGATTGTATAGTATGGTCGACTAATGCGAGCTTCAGGGATTGGCCCTGGCATT